GCAGTTTCTGCTGTGACAGCTCACCAGACGTGGTGGAAGCACCTTCAGGTGGGACTCCAGAAGCTACCTGTGGTTAGACCTTTGTCAGAGCTCCTTCCCAAGGCAGCCCCCAAGCCCTTCTGCTTGACTATAATGCATGTTTGGGAATGTAAAGTCAAATCTGGGACATCCTAATTTGTATTGCTATGGTAGAATTAGGGTGCTCATGCCATCCCTTGCTTGTGTCTGCTCTTCTCCCTCACTCTCTGTTCAAAACTATGTTCATAAGTTTTTGAGGGCTGTAGCATAAAAGTAAAGGGTTACTGTGTTGCTTAAGTACTTTTGGTAGCAGTTCTGAGTCCTACCTGATCACTCTTGGTCTCACAGCACAGCTCGTGGATCAGAAACGAGACACGTCCTGGCACATGATGGAGGCCAGTGCCTGGCAGCCAGGGAAAGGCAGCATTTCATGGGCTGAAGCTGAGCAGCAGCTGCTTGTGCCAGTGGAGAATAATGTCTGCAGAACTGCACCTTCTCTAGGTTGTAATCAAAATAAATAACAGATACAAACTGAGACAGTTTTTTTGCATAGCTTGTCAAGGTGCTTAAAAATGCATGGATTCAGGTCACTCTTTTTTTAATTAACCAAAAATGTATATACTTTGCTAATGTGGTTTGGGTTTTTTTCAGCTCAGAGTCTGAGGATATATTCATAAGGAGATAAAAGGAAAGGGATAAATTCTAGACAGTTGTAAGTGCCAAAGAAAGTGACAGCTATCTACATGAGCAAAATTTCTAACAGTGCCTCACATCCACTGGAAAATGCTTAAGAGTCCACAAATAGAAAAAGGTTAAAAACTACTGACCTAAATAATTGGTTCAATTTTCAAGACTGCTGAGCATCCAACTGTTCTCATTGATTATAAACAGATGATGATAACGAATAACAGCTTCCATAGTTGATGAAAGGCATCTTTTCTGGGTAACTTGTCCACAGATGCTTAGAAGAAGGATACATCTAATACAAGTCTTTGATAAGGAGGAACATTTCTCCCTTGGTTGTCTATTCTGTATGCATAGCGTACATAAATATTTTTGCTTTCACACTATCTTATGTTTCTTAGAACTCGGTTTAGAATTGAACTGTAGCTGATAAGAAGAAACATAAGACAGGATCTTATTTTCATATGTGGATTGTATGCTGCCTCATGCTTCAGTCCTGAAAGAGCTTTCATATTTACCATGTTGCTTGACCACCTTTTTAAAATTTAGCAAATTCAACATCCTATTATACAGAGGAATTAGAAAAAATTTATGAGTTATGTGTTGTATTTTTATACCAGCTTTAGATCTTTTCTTGGTTTCTGCATTCAACAGATTTTGTGTTTTGATTCCATATTGTTGTGGTAAAAACAGAAGAGCTGTTTACTGGGAGGAAAATTGCACCAAGTGGTAACAAGAGAAGATTTAAGCTTGCACTTTAATTTAAAATTCTGAAAACTCTCCTTAAAGTTTTTCTTTTTGATGTTGTGATTCATATACTTCAGATCTCTTGGTTTTTAGAGCTTTCTTTTAATTAATCTTTTGAAAGTTCTTGCAAGATTAATGTGGGCACTGAATTTTGTCAGTCTTGTCTTGTAATACTTATGCTTGTGTCTGAGAAGGATCTAAGATGAAAATATGTGAAGATCTTTGGTCTAGGAGGATTGGGTTAGAGAAAATCTAGGCAGACTTGAGACCCAAAAGCCCATGGGCCCTGAAGGGCTGCACCCATTATTATCTTTGAAAAGTCATGGCCATCAGGAGAGGTGCCTGAGGACTGGAAGAAAGCAAATGTCACCCTGGAGCTCCAAAAAGGAAAGAAGGAGGACCCGAGGGAAGTACTGGCCAGTCACCTTCACATCAATCCCCGGAAAGTTTATGGAACGTCTCATTCTGAAGGCCATGTCTATCCACATGGATAATGAGGATGACAAGAAGGTGATTGGAGTAGTCAGCATGGATTCACTGAAGGTAAATCCTGCATGTCCAGCCTGATTGCCTTCTATGATACAACTTCTGGAGGGGTGAGGGAAGACTAGAGGATGTTGTTTACCTTGGCAGGGCTTTAGGTGCTGTTTCTCACAGTGTCACTGTAAGCAAAGTCAGTGGAAGTGTGGGCTGGATGAGTAGACAGTGACGGGGATTGAGACCTGGCTGAGTGGCAAATCCCAGAGGATTTTAATCATGGCCACAGGGTCTAGTTGGATGCCTGTCAATAGTGGTGTCCCCCAAGGTTCAATACTATGCCCAGTACTGTTTAACTTATCCATCAATGACTTGGATGAAAGGTCAGATGCCTCCTCAGCTTGGAGGAGTGGCCAATACCCCAGAGGGCTTTGTAGCCCTTCAGAGAGAGCTTGAGGGGCTGAGGAGATGGGCAGAGAGGAACCATGGAAAACTCAACAAAGGCAAATGCAGGGTCCTGCACCTGGAGTATATGAACCCAGGCACCAGGACAGATGGGTCCTTGTGTCCAGCAAGTGAATTAAGCCATACAAGGGGTGAAGGCAGTGACAGCTGTGCAGGTACTGCATTGGCTCTCTTCACATACTGCTCCTTTTTGTGACACCCAAATGCACTTAAAACCATCAGTTTCACATTGTGACTTAATAATTAAAGAGAACTTGTTCAATAAATACTTAAGATCATCCATTCAGAAAGGGAGCCAGAAAAACAAACTCAGGGAATCCTGGGGGCTGTCGAAACAGGAAGGCTGCTGAGAACACACACATGCAAATGGCAAATTTGATTACAACGATGGGCTGTCTGCTTTGCAGCTCCTGGAAGCCCACCCTCAGCCATAAAAATGCAAAAATAGTGCAACAGGCAATGTGGCAGAACAGGGCTCTCTGTATTCATTCACAATTAGGTGTTCTATTCTGTTGTCACCAGATGCTGCCACGCACATTACACAACAGAAATGGGATTAGCAGGAATAACAAAAACCTGTCAAAGCACAAAACCATGGCCTAGTAGTCCTGACAAATTAAACAGCCTACAATGAGTGCCAGAGCATGAAAATCACTCACCCTTCCTCTACTATCTCTGAGAGGTAGGCAGCAAGTGCCTTCTTAAAGTCCGGCCACCATGCAGCCAACACTAGTTGCAGAGGAAAAAAGGCATTTTCATTTCTGCTGGAGCGTAAATTAAGGACAAACCACCTAAACATAACTAGTGAATATCTGAAAGATAGATGTTTCATTCTGTAAAATACAGAATAATTCACATGGCATGTCTTAAGCAGCCCATGTTACAAACCCTGTTATACTAACAATCAATTTCCATGTGTAGTAGCTTCCATGGAGTGCTGTTAGTTTTATCTGTATTTGTATAATGCAAGATAAAGTAGGCCTCCATAGCTGTGTAAAACCCATGTTTTGCTAACCATGCTCATGTTGGGGGTCATCAGCATGGGATGTTGGAAGATTCCGAGGATGAGACAAGACTCTGTACAGAAACTAACTCCAAGGCTGGAAACCAAGTTATGAGTTGCATATTACTCTGGAATGGCTTCAGTGTTCATAGGTTTTTAAGATAAATACAGAAAATTAGTGTCTGTTATAGCCTGTTTTACCTATTTTGAGTTTAATAATGGTGTCATTAAACTGAGCAGCCAACTGTGCTTGAAATTTTTCTAGAGATATATGACAAGTTGCTTTTTGTAGCACTGTTGTCCATCCTGCATCAAACTCATGTCAAATGCAGTGACTTGTAACAAGCTTTTTCACATACTTTTTTCAAGGTTTCTTTTGGTTTTGGGGGTTGCCTGTCACTCATCCTACCTTAATATTCCCTGTAGATGGTGATCATTGTCTGTTTCTCTTCCTGGATGCTTTTTTCTGAGCCACTCTCAGACATTATTTGTTAGTCCTAAACTTGATGAACTTTTATTCTTGCCATAACTTCAGCTTTCAGCTCTTCATTTTTGCTATGTGTGATCTCTAAAACCAGAAGTGATGTCCACATCTGCTATAGGGAAATAGGAGCTGAGTGGCTGAAAGATCAGAATCTTTAGGCAGTGTTTTAGATGCTACTTTCACAGTGTGCTTCCCCCCAGTCTATACTTCTGTAGTCTCACTTTTCTTCCTCCCTAAGGGGTGTCAGATAAGTCACTCAGCTTTAGTGTTACTGTAAGTTTAGATGACCAATTCAGCAAGGGTGACAAATGCTACTTTCTTGCCTCTTTCCTGACCCCATAAGATTTCCAAGATTTCTTCTGGGAATTACTTACAGAAGATGTATTTCTTCATCTGTGGCACAAAACCCATTTTTCCCCTTTATTTCCGCCCTCTGAGAAAGTCCTTGGAGTAATAGGTAAAATGTCAAAAATAATTAAGAAAAATACTGATATACACTGTGGCAGAGAATTATACCTTTTGAGATGGTTGTTGCCATCATCTGTAATCAGTCCCCTGACAGATATAAATACCAGCTTTATCACCTTGTTTTAGATGATGATGTGTTGAATCAATGTTGATGAAGACTGTATTTTGGAACCTTCAGTTAAAGGGAAAGAATAGTTTCAATTGTGAAGCAGAGAACATAAGTTCAAAGTAGCGTAAGTACCTGACACAGAATACAAACATTTCTTTATATAACATCTATTTAATCCTCTTCATAAAAAATCTTTCTCATATGAGAGAAAAGGGCTTACAATAGCACAGTTCTGTCCCAAAAAAATTCTGACTAAGAGCTTGCTTTTTTGCGTGGCATGGAGACCAAGTATCCAGTGCGTACCCATGCCCAGGAGCAATGTCTCTACTTTCTGGGCTAAGTGGCTACTTGGATTATGAAGTGTTTATGTCCTTAAGAAAGAACCTTTTTGTCCTGCATCTTAAAAGAAAAGATCATATTTATTTTCAGAGGAAATGTATCATGACTAGATTTATAGTACCATGTGCTCAAAGATCAAATTGCATGACTGCAAGCATTTATATTTGTATTTATAGGAAATAATAAAAAGGAGCAAGAAACTTATGTGCAGCTTAAGTGTTTGGCATTTATCTTTTTCAAAATACATTAAAAAGGCAAATGGACTTGGAATGCCAGTTAAAAAGCTAGGATCACTCACTGTAATTTATTACTTTTTACATTTAGGTAGATTCAAAGTACAAGTTATGGTGACCGCAGTTCAACTGCTCTACTATATTTTATGAAGTACAAGGTAGCAATTGGTTGCATAAGGGACTAAAGATTTGGTACTAAATCCTCTTCAACTTTTAAATGATACTTCTGTATCCTTTGATTTATTTTTTTTAATAGATTTAACAGCTATGTCTATGTAGTAAGTATGTATCTTAACCTGCTTTGGGATGGATCTCCATATAAAAAGCCTTGCATTCACGTGCAAACCTCTGTAGACCACTTAGAATTTCTCCAGACTTTGGGAATGCCAAGATATTGGGACAGTGCTCAGGGCCAGAGTTCTCACGGTCTACATTACACATGAAAATTAGCTGGGTCCAAAATCCTAAACAGGGGCATGCTGTGTTCACGTGATGGACAATCCCTCAAACTAAATAAGTGTAAAAAAACTAATCTGCTCCCTCAAATCTTTTATATAAAATCTATATTATTCCAGAAAATTTTCTTGAATTTTTCTGGTATTTTTACACCTCTCTTTCTCTGCCTTTAAATATCTTTTCTCCTTGTCTATCTATTTAAAGCAAAACTAACAAAGGAGCAATTATCCAACAATTATTATTATTTGCATCACAGATGCAGCAGTTCTCTGATGACAAGTCTCAGTGCTCATTTTCATTACACAGGCACGAAAATCCACTGAAGCAACTTGGGAAGTCTACACATTGCTGCCTTCATAGAGTTCTGTATTCTGTGAGCATGGAAAACTCCCTGACACTCGAGATGTGCATGGACTCTCATGGAACACGATATGTGAATACAATCTAATACGTGTATCAGGGCGCTGAAGAGTACATTGTCTTTTCATGTAAATTATCAGCAAAGTCCCCAGAACTAATTTCTGGAAGCAGTAAGGAAAGCTGACAGAGCATAGCAAAGCTGGAGACTTTTTCCTGTTGCTCAGCAGACTGTGTTGAGTGGCTGGGCTCAGCAGAGCACCACACACAGTCAGTCAGTAAAAATTGTTGGCATCACCTGAAGATTACTGTTATCTCTGGAAGACTGCCTGTCATGTGGATAGCTTTCACGCACAATATGGTGTGTGGCATGAAGCAAGTTCTGTGTGTTTTCAGCAAGAATGCAAACCCAAGAGCTGCGGAGACCCAAGAGCTGTTTTCTGTGCAGAAATAGCTAAGGGGTAAAAAAGATTGCCCCAAAACATGGTTCCACTGGAGCTTATGCAAATCTGCAAATGCCCCTTATCCTCACCTCACTACTGGCTCCACTCTGCTTTGAATCAGGCCCTATCCAACTGGCATTGCAAAGGCTGAGTCTGCCTTTGAATTTTAGCTTGATCAGATGGGAACTTCTAAAGTAGGTCTTGTGATCCTTTCCATTATTTATGCTTTTGCTTATGTTGAGAAACTGTTTCAAGTGCATAAACTGGAATTTATTTTGGATAAAAGTAAACCAACTACATCTGATGCACTCAGAGAAAAATAGGAACTTGGTCTGTGGGGTTAAACAAAAGATCATCCAAAATAAAAATAAATTCGTAATTAAAATTAAAATTAAAATTTCTTGTAATGTAGCTTTCTGATCCTCACTGTCAACTATTTTGCTCTAAAAATCTTCCTCTGGTCTGCACTGTTTGCCAGTGTGGATGCTGAGCTTTTTTCCCTAGTGTACAAAGATCTTTCTGATGGTTTCAGAAATTGTTCAGTCTATCTGTGGTTCATGTTCTTAAAGTGTGAAATGAGGAAAATAATACTTAACCATCTTTATCAAACAGTACATATCTCAGATGAAAGCCCAAGCACAACCAAAGTGTAGTAATATTTTTACTGTTACTACATCTAGAAGATCCTCCTATAATTTTTGGTACTATGTACATGTATTTTAAAGTTGCTAATCTGAACTGTAAAAATACACCCAAGTTGATAACCAAATCCTCTTAATATAAGTTCTTATTGGTTTCCCATATGATTTTTAGTGCCTGTAATTGTTTATGGATCAGTTTCCACTGCAATGCTGCTTATGTGTGTATTTAGAAAGGTGAAGAAGAACAGCAGCCTCTCTTGGGGTAGCAGACAGCTGCTAAATAAGTCTCTACTAGGTAGGTGCACTGTCACCCTAAATGGGGCATAAATAATGAATCAAATTTTAGAAATAATAATCTTAACTAGGGCAGTTTGGTGCTGTGAATGTTTAGTGAGAAAACAAAACCCGAAAACAAAAGCATGTAGTGTTTTGTTTCTAATGATCAAATTTTTTCAGTGAGAATTTCACGTCAGTTGGTTTTCGTTGAAATTACAAAATAAAGTACTCCTATCCAAATTAAAATAGATTTAGGTTGTTTTTTCCTCTTTTTGAAAAATCAGAGGTACTTATTACACAACATTGGAATTGCTTAATACACTGGGATATAAAGTAATTTTTGTGGAATTGCAAAAAAACATGATAAAACACAATTTGCTCTTACTGTTGTTGGCAGTACTTTGAACTGGTTGAAGATGCATTCCTTATTATTCAAATGTATTTTGCTTTCTGTGTTAATAGATTACAAATATACAACCAGTTCTATAATTCCTTGAAAGATTTGAGATTTCCTTCCGTATTTTAAAATTAAGTTTGAGCCATCCTAAGTTCCAGCGTGTGTTCTTATTGGCAGCATGATGTTAATAAATCATCAGAGCCCCATTGATCAACTGGCTTATTTAACACTGTACAAACAGCAAGAACGGCCACAAGCCCCACTCTTTGCAGTTAGGAAAGTTAATTATTTCACACTGACAGGTTATTAAGTTCCCTCTAGCCCAGAGTTAAAACAAAAAATATTCAGAAGAGATTTTTGGGCAAAGAACAAGTTGGGTCAGATCTGATCCCAGACTGAGCAGATCTGTTCCAGGTGAGACCATCATTGCCAGCTCTATTCAGAGCCTCAGCTTCTACACCTGAAAATGGAGGAAATGATCTTGGCCCTTGCAATGTGGTTACAGATTGACTGGGTCCCATTCATTTCAATCCATTTTCTACTCCTGCTGTAGGATAGCATTTCCCAAGTGCTGCAATCTTTAATCAATTATCTTAGACTTCAGTCTGATTCAGCTCATTACATGTTTCCCCTGTTCTTCATTCCCTGCTCATCTTTCTTTGATGTTGTATTTTTTACATTACTTTCCCCACATGCACTAGTAGAATTCAGCCTGTATTTGCCTTATTAAAACTTTCACTATCTTCATAATGAACTGGCTCCATTTTCTCTTTCATGTAACGAAAAGAAACCACTGTCAAATAGCTAACATTAATGGCACAAATTTCTGCATCTCACTAAACAGAAACACTTAGATCTTCACCTGATAAATTTAGTGCAATTTGATCTAACTCTGTCTCCTTCAAAACACCAGCCTGGTACCTAAATTAGGTCTTAGATTAGAACTGTCATCAAGACTCTTTCCTCTAGGGGAAAACAGAAATATTTGGAAAATAATTCAGCCCATACAAGGTGAATCATTAAACACAAGGTGAAGGTATGTAAACACTCTCCATGTAGCAGAGGAACAGCCACAGACCCCTGGATTTCTGACTTCACATCCTTTGCAGAAGGAACATCCACATATGTCATATTTTTTAGCCTGCCGAAAAGGTAAAGCAGAGAACATAAGAGAAAGGGTCTGAAGATCATGACTTACATGGAGATGAACAAGTGCCCACTATTTTTTCTGATACCAGAAGTGTGGGGATTAAATTATGGCAACATGCACAGCCCCAGAAGGGACCACAATGGCTCTCCACAGTGCAGGCTGCATGCTATGATTATTGATCCTTTATAGGGCAGGTCAGGAGGCAACTGGAGAAGCTCGTGGAAGAGAAATCCAGCAAAGGTCTGCTTGTGGGAAGCCTCTAAGCGGCAAATTTTTGGAGACTGGCAAAGTTTTCTGGCTAAGTATCACTAAATGTTTATTCCTTGCTTGTATCAATTCCCAGGCATCCCTGTGGTCACTGTTAAGGCCAACAGGGCTGAACACATCTTGCAGAAGCTGGTAAGACCTATTTTATAATATTCAGTACCTCAGCTAGCTGCCTTCACTTGGTGGAGGGAATCCATGTCTCTGATCACAAACTGTGGTTATGGGGTCTCTGGGACACCTACTCCTGGGCCTGCTCTGGCAGCCAAGTTGCACCTATGCAATAACATTTGTTAAAATGAATTTTCTAATACAGCATTAAATTGCATTTGAAATGAATGAGCTGATAGAAGTGCTATCCCAATGATCACATTTCAGTTCAGCAAGACTGGATTTCTTTTCATTTGAGTGAGCTCTGATCTAATTTTGTGTCTGCCCACCAGATATTTATTTCTCCTAGTTGGCAGTGTGCTGGGCTACATTCGGTGTAAAACACACAAATATTTTCTAACTGCAAACCATCATGTTCAGTGGTCTGAGCTTTTCAGACTGTTATCTACAACTGTTATTACTATGCTATTGTAACCACCTCTTTTTTCCAGATTGAATGTGCTGCTATTGAACCCTGATCCCATGGGTAGAGTGTGAGCAGCACCTTTAGTAGCATGGCAAATGTTGTCTGCTAAACTATGGCTGTAAAATGGGCATTGTTTCTTTGTATACACTGACAAATGAGAAAAAGAAACTGAGCTCTGTTTTTTTATTAATGGATGAAATATGTGAATTAAAATATTTTACCATTTTAAAGCATGGAGTGTGGATGTGCTAAGTTGTTTGTGGGATTGAACTTCCAACAGCTTTTTTAATTGGAGGTTAAATTCAGGTCCAAATGGGCAGATCTTAATAACCATATAAACCAGTAATCACACCACTAGGCAGATCTTGATGTGTCTTCAATAATTAATCTGGGCAGATATCCTTAAATAATTCAGTGATTTTTAATTAAAGAAAATAGGGTATTTAGTTGATTTTTTTTAGTCTGGGGAATATTTATCAACATGATTCCATGCCTTTACTTTTCTTTAATATTTTTCCTTTCCCTGCATGGTATTTTATGACTTTTGGATTCTTTCTTAGTTAAATATTTTTCTAAGAGCAGAGACTTTGATTTGTAAATGTGAATGTGATCAATAAAAACTTACGGCTCCAAAGTGTCCTTATTTATATTTAAATCCTCCCTCTCACCTGCTGTTTGTTGCTTTTTAGTTATGTCACCAATCCCACTGGAGCTCAAAAAATTTAGCTGGTCCTCTCTAAACTCCCAGACATTTTCTTTTCCCATGTACTCTTCCGTCCCTGCAGCTTCTGATGTAAAACAGATTTAAGTTTGTGTAGAGCAGAGGTCAACATGAAAGCCTAAAACAAAACAAAACAAAAAAAGCTGGCATTCAACTTTTAGCTCTGGTTTTTATTATAACTCAAAGCTCTATTTTAGTAATTTAAAAATGGTAGTATTGTTCTACATCCATAACCTACCTTTCACCGAGTTTCTTGATGACTGTGATGCCCAGTTTAGATAAACTTCTAGACTGGCTGATGAGCACTTGGAAGAACTGCAGGCAGTTGTGCCACAATGGTAAAATGGACAAGTATTTTGCAAAATTATCTCTGTGAATTTTACATTTATTTTGCTTTAGATTATGGCCAAGAGCAAAGCTTAGAACTCATTTCTCCTATTCCTAAACAGTTATTTGCAAAGTCATGATTTTGGTGAACCTTGCTATGGATAGTGGGAGCTTATTGCCAAGTGCTTCAAACATTCATTAATTTTTTTAAGCAGACCAATTTTTCTGTTCTGTATTTTGCAGTATCACATCCCTTTTTGAAAGGCTCAGTAAATGATCATGAGTTAAGTGTTGAATGAGGATTAAACGCTGCATGTTATGGCTCAATGTGTTAGTCCATTTACCAGTGTTGTATGTATGTACACAGCCTTCTGCATTTTTCAGTGTTAATCAGATGGAAATAGCAATTGGAGGTATAATTCAGTGTTGTGCTTAAGGTCATTAAACCCTGTGGTGATGGGTAAATCCAGAGACTGCTGTGGCCTTATCAGGCAATTTGGCAAAGAAGCCAGTGCTGTGTCACCGAGACAATGCACTCTGGACAATGGCTGCATCCCTACTAAGGGACAAAGCCCCACTGTATCAATTTGCTGTGTCTTCAGCTACGTAGAACATGTCTAAGGTGACAAGGATCTAACCTGAGTGCCCACCAGCCTCTCTTCTTCCAGGGAGAGGAGTGTACCCAGAAAGTCCTAGAGCTGCTCCTTGGTGGGCACCAAGAGTGTTTGTCCTGCTCTTCAGTTCAACAGCTGCATCGAGAGTAAATCTCTGTGGTAAAACTGCTTTTTTTCACAGGAGTTTCATTTGTGCAAAATGAATCCTGAGATGTGATAGGAAGTAAAGAATGGTACTCATGGGAATAATTAATTATAAATCAAAACAGAAAAAAATATTGTAAAAGTTTAGGCCTTATCCTGCATTGGATTTGAAATCAGACTGAAGTTAGAAGGACGCAAGAGGAATGAGCCCCATCATGGGAGCTCAGTAAAGACTGTAATCTGCATTCTGCAAAGTCTAAGACTCGGTCTCAGCTGTGAATTTGGTATTGATTTAGCACCTCTTTTGCATTATTTCTTCAATGGTAATTCATTGCCCCCATGGTAGAGTGGGCTTCTTGGTGGAGATAGAAAATAGGGTAGAATGTGGAGAGCACATAAAAAAGGCACTGGTGAAACAGAGTCCCCTGAAAAAGTGGATGGAGGTGATTTTATGCCTGATAGCTAAAAAAAAAATCATGGCCCTAGGCCCTCCAAATGTGTTTGATTCTTTTGTGTGCAATAAGGAATTTGAGCTCTTTGAGCTTTTTGGGGAAGGTCAGGTGGTTAATTTTGAAGTGTTTGCCACAGCTGTGTAAATGTTAGAGAATCCTGTGAGGCCTTGAATGCATATTATAAACTCAGGAGCTCTGAGATGGGTGTTGTAAGAGGCAGGACTTTATCACAAAAAAAACTGTTGATGGAAAGGGAGAGTCATTTACAGATGATTCTGAGATGGAAGGAAGGAAGGAAGGGGAGGATATAATGTAATTTGGATCCTAGATGCCAAGGGGTATTTAACTAATATACATTTTTTATAATGCTCTGAATGCCAAACAATAGAATATTTTCGGAATTTCAACAAATGTTATTGTTAACCCCAAAGTGCTTAAAAGTTCTGAATTCAATTTTTAAAAAAAACTTTAGAAACTTAAAATAATAGAAACAATACATTCAATGCATGTTTGTGATAATGTGACACATTTTCAAGTGGTCTCTGATATTAAGGGTCATATACCTTGTCTTTTTATTGTTAGACTTAATATATTGTTTATCCTCCATTGTAACAGAAAAAGACTAAATAAGTAAGATTCACATATAATCTTAAGCTTGCAATATTGTCCAGAAGGCAGTAATTTTCCTTCAAATTTGGTAATCCGTTTTCACTCTTGTTTCCATACTAATTACTCGTGCACGTTATTGTATGCTGATAAAAATTAGAACACAAGAATTTCCTTTTGCATTACACTATTGAAAAATGGCTGGTCATAATCTTGATAATTTTTTTGCTTTTTTTTTTTTTTTTTTTTTTTCTGATGTAATCACCAAAAAGAAATTTTGATATTCTCTAGTTAGAGTAGAGGTTGATCACATCCAATCTTGTGTATGATCAGTGAATTTGTCTGGGCAATGTGGCAGATTACAGGGTGGGACTGGGTTAAACTGAAGAATGTGGTAAAAGATTTTTTAATTATTTTGGGGTTAATACATAGGAAAATAAGATTTTAAAAAATCCTACCTTTGTTGATGAAGCCACTGATTTGGAGTATATTCTGTACAATTCCAGAAGTTAAGTTTTGCATTTCAATGGACTTGCAATTCTTCTTTTGGAAATATAAGATACAGTCCCAAAACTATTACAGCTCTTCATCTTAGATCGCATCCTATTGAAAGAAATATTCTCCCAAGAATGTTCATTGGCTAAATTTTCACCATCATCAAGGGCTCAGATAAGAGTTCTCGTGCTTTTGGACTCCTCATATTCAGTAAATTATTGCACAGAAATATGGCAATGTGTTGCATTTTTTTTGCTGGAGACTCAGATTCTGTGCCCTTTATTGTTCTTCCCCAATTACTTCACAGAGGTTCACCAAAATAAATATGGGTATTTACAGAGAGTTGGTTGTCGTCATTCACAAGCAGGACAATCAACACACTATTATTTTAATAAAAAATCTTTTTAATGGTTAAAAAAAAAGCTGCATTATAATTAATTAAACCTTTTTTTTTTTCTTCCTTTTTTTTTTTCCTCCGCTGCAGCTGGAGTTAAGTGAAAATTCTGACTTCAGAATCTCAAGTTTCAAAAGAAACATAACTCTGGATTTTGGATGCTCTGACTTCCTTTTCCAGGGATATGTCAAGTCCAGTATTTCAGTTTGAAACACTGATGTGACAGACTGCCATAATGCAATGTGTTTAACCACCTCAATGATACATCAAGTGAAAGAAGTTCCCAAAGATTCAGTTCACACATGCACACACACACAAAAAAAAGTGAGGGATAAACAGTATGGGAAGCGGAGCATAAATCTTTTTCACACAGTTTGGCACAAATTTAATTATAATTTGTAAATGTTCAATCAATTAGACCACTCAGTTGTTTAACTTGTAACTTTGAAGACAGATAATCTTTTCCAAGAGGAAAGTTTATCTTAACCAAGAAATTTTATGTTAACTGCTCCAGAAGGAAAATGAAGAGATTCAGGAGAAAAGTGTGTAATACCAGGATGTCTTTGGCTGAATTTCAATATTTTCATAGCAATAGACTAGTTAAACCTTTAAGCTGCCAAATGGCACACAAACACTTTCCACCCAGAAGAAAAAAGAAAACCACACTTTCCCCCCCCCGCCCCCTTAGACTAGAAACAGTAATTCTGTGTCTTTATAATGTTTAATACTTATAGTGATAATGCAATATTAGTTTCAGGTACCTTTGGAAGTTGAAGAAGCAGCATAAACGCCCATTCATTGTCCTTCATTTTCAAATGCTTTCCAGAGTCTGTCTTACAGACTGATTCCACTCATAGCCTCTTTAAGTTCAAAACCTGTCAATTCCCACAGAAGATATCACAGTCTTCATACATTGTCAATAGTCACTTCCCATGCACTGGGAACTGCAGTTGGCGCCTGGAGGGGAGGGGAGACTTGTAAATATGGAGATACAGAAAGCTAAGGATGAGATGGGAAGGGGGTCAATACCAACACAATATGCACTGTTGTCACTGTTGTGTTTTTTGAGTTCCAAGTTTGTCATCAAGGCTGTAAAAACCCCTTGTGTTAAACATTTTTCCCTGCTGCAGATGCAGAGCTTGCCTGTGAGAGAGCAGGAGCACTGGTGGGTTTGGCAGTCCCGTGGTGGTACCAGAAGCAACAGTGACACACAGGAGCTGGAGGTGTGTCCCTTCTGCCAATTTGCAGTGCTAATTCCTTGAATACACTTTATGTGGACAAACCAGAGCTGTGTGCAGTCTGGGACCAAATTGGAGCAGTTCATGAGTGGCCATGGTCCACTGACAAAACAGCAACTGAAATATTGTTCAAACTGAAAACATCGCATTTACTCTCTCTCCTATTGAAGGCAGTCATGTGTTGTGTTGGCTGCACAAGAATTTTGACTGAGCATTGAACATGTAGACCAAAACTTAATCATAACCAGAGTCTGTCTGAAATCGTGTCTGCCAGCAAGCACAACAGAAAGGATGTCTGTCCAAGCACTGCTGCTGCTGGGTTAAGATGTATGGTAAGGCTGAGCTGCCTCCCAGCTCTGGCTGAGTGCAGGAGCCTTGGCTGCTGCTTTTGACTGCATGTAACCTTTTCAAAAGCACCCAAATATCTTAAAAACCTGAATCTCATTGAAGGGCAGATAGCTGAGGGGTGACTAACATAAACAGCCTAAATGCAGCGAAATTGCCTGGAATGGTCTCATAAATCTCCGAGCTCTCCTTCTGCCTGAGTTTGGGTAGTTGTACTCTGTGGAAGCTGCAGTTACCAGCTGAGTGTTAAACAGTGTTTAGTTGGCTAAACTAAAGAAGAAGTGAGTGAAAGAAGTGAGTGTCTGCTAATTTTTTTCAGCTTCCCATTTCCCAGGTCTGTAGATCTGGTGTGGGGCTTTGCAATGGCCACAAGATGCACCTACATTGGTCTGTAGGTGCACGGTGCTCCGTGCCTGATCCATGAGCCACCCAAGGGGATGATGAGTGTAGAGTACTCCCACAAAACCTGTGGCATGCAAGCTCTTTTTAATTCAGTGAAGACTGGAAGATTTTTCCCCTGTGGATCTTTTACATTCAAGTCAGGCTTCACATAGCCCACAGTCTAAAAAAAAAAAAAAAAAAACTGAAAAAAATCCTTCACTACAGAGACAAATAGCAACATGTGGCTGGAAGATAACAGAAACGTACATGCAAGTGCAAAAATTAAATATGGAAATATGAAAATGAGGTTGTTTTTTTTTCCTAAGCAAAGGAACTGATCCACTTTTCATTGCTGGAAATTGCATGGGGCTTTATTTCCTCAGCAGCTGATCTCAGAAAAACAAAATAGAAAAAAATATTCACAGATAAGACGCACCACCACTGTACCCTGACTTTTTGGTTTGCTGTGGAAGTGGGAGTCTTTTGCAAAAGTTTTGCAGCTGGCCTGAAAAACAGCAACAAAGAAGATAAAGGCAAAAGAGTACATTAGAACTAAATGTGCAGAATGCAGATGTGCAGCCTTTCTGCCTTCCCTTCTCTGCCTTCAGTCTTCCTGCAGTGTCATACCTTTCCAAGGAACACTGGATTTCCTTTAAAAGACTGTTTCTTCATTTTTCACTGTCATTTTCTGCAGCTCCTTCCTCGCTCTGCATCCCTTCTCCCTGTCTGCAGCCCACATCTTTGCCAGATAGTTAATGTAAAAATGATTACCTCAGCTCCTTGCAGGCTCTGCCCCCGCTCTGTGTGGTTTACACAGGCTGCCTGGTTGCTGAAAAAACCCACAGTGCTCAGCAACGAGGTGGTTGTGTCTGAGCCACATCGTCCTGGAGGTGGCTGGTAAGAGCTGCCTCCAGGAGCAGCAGAGAGATAGATACAGACTCCAGTGTTAAAGAGGCAGACTGTGGGGATCACTCTCTTCCTTCTCCTGTTAATGACTCAGTCTGTATTTACAGAGGAACAATGTAAAAAAAGATCCACCCATGGTCCCCAACAAATGAAATTATTTAAGTATTCTTTGGAAGGAAAGAAAATGAGTGATCTAGTTTCCTTTTCCTGTGCAAGGATTTTGTATGATTTTTGCCCATATTGCATTTGAAAGTGCATGGTTCTGGGACTGTCCCTCACCAGGGGCCTTTGCTGTGTCAGGTACAATTAGAAACTGAGGCTAATTGGGGTCAATATTCCATTATATGAAGCAAAGTGATAGGGAAATGAGCTTTCGTTTGAAGGTAACTGGTTCTGGCCTGTGTGTGGAGGTAGTCCTGACTGGAAAGAAACAGAGGCCTGTTTTGTACTTACAGACACCAGTTTTTTGGGGTGCAAAATTAGCAGTGACTTATTGAATTTTCCCATCAGAATACATCCCAAAAACTACCAGTGCTCCAAGTCTGAGATGCATGTTTTGCCCTGTAAAACAGCAGCGAACACTTTCTGTTGAAAAATTTTTACAACGGGTTTTGATAATCAATTATCTTCAACATTATCTGTAGAGACAGCTTGACAGCTTTCTGTTAAACAAAAAATAAATAATCTAAAATAGGGATGTTTTATCAGTCCCATGCTATACAACATGAGCCACATGACAGCCCGCCCCTCACTGAGGGATGCTGGTCTCTGCAGTGTACCAGAAACGGCCATTAAAAATAATTAGGGAATTTGGTCCCATCTCTTTCCCATCTGACTAATAACAAGTTGTGCTTCAGAGCATGCTGTTCTAAAGATTGGAGAAGGCAGGACCAAAGTTAAGCCTAGAGGTGTACACACCAGGCAAACAGGGAATAGAAAGGGAAAAAGAGTCTGGTCCTTTCTGTGGGACAGCTTCGGTGTCCTTGCAGACAGTCTTTTCCAGCATTCCCCTTGCTTGGCTGTTATTGCTGTTATTTTCCTTGGGGTTTTTTTTTTTTTGGTTTTTTTCCCAGGAGTCCAAATTTTTAGGATGGTGTGGGTGCAGCATATGCACCCAGTAGAGGCTTGTGTCTGATGGCCTTCAGTGGTGATGTCTGCTGGTTAACAAGGTGCTCAGGACTCTGAGCCAAGTGTGTATGAACACAGAAGGGAATAATCAGAGAGAAAATTGCATGGGTTTTATAGTTCATATAAGCCTAAAGAAATTAGGTTGGGTTTATTTTTCTTTTTGTTTTGTTTTGGTTTGTTTGTTTTTTGTTTGGTTTTTTTTTGACGGAGTAATATCATTATCCAAATGAGTCAGGCATCCTTTTATTGCCCTGTATTCGCTTTTCATTGTCACCCATGAACCCTGTTCCCACAATCTGTGTTTTACTTTGCACAGGTATTTAATATTCTAAATTGTTTCCACTACTTTGAGATCTGATTTTACCTGTTTTCTTCTCTTCATGTTTACTTTTTCCTTACAATGCTTCTAATGAAACTTTTTCTTCCTTTTGTCCAACTTCTTTCCAATTGTTTTCACTTTCTAGAGGGCAGCTATAGTTTTCCTGGGCTAGTAACAATCTTCTGATTTACCACTCCTCACCTTTGATGAATATCTTTTACTATCTCAGATGTACGAATTGTGTAGCTCAATTTATCTTCATCTCCATCTTCTTCCACCATAGAGTACAGTTCCTGTAATCACATTTCCTGGTTTCCTCAGGTCAACTGTTCATGTTCAGAGGTTCTGGAAGGGTAACCTGCCCTGAAGACTCATGGTACCTTCTCATTTCATGGATGAAAAACTGTAGACTTTCAGCTCCTCACTACCACAGATAACTCCAGGTCTTCATTCAAATTCAATATGGTATGCATCAGAAGGAGATTATGAGGTAGACTGCTTCTTGTGTTTAAAAGGTGCACAAAATGGTAAAAGTTTTTCATTTTGCTTACTCTTGATTGGCTCCAAGGAGATGGGAAAATGAATGTTGAGACAGTTCCATACCTACTTGGAAGGTTTCAGTAAAGAGAGAGGATTGCTCTGGTCTTTCCTGCTCCTCTCCATGATGCACTGAGGGCAGTGAACATCTGAGTTACTGTGAGCACTGGAGCAGATTTCCTTCCCTGGCTTGTCAAGGGCTTGGTGAGACCAAGTCAAAGTTCTGTGCAAACTTTGAAACCAAGGGAAAATAAGACCCTTCTTTAATACACTGAGCTTTCATTTCCAAATTTCATGCACATATTCCTTGGAATGATTTCTTAAAGAAGGCTGAGATAAAAAATGAAGGAGTGTGATGCATTCTGTGTATATAACTCCTCTTGTGGAATAGGGGGAGGATGTAAAATAACAAAATTAATATACAGTAAGTTAAGTATGCTCATACATCATATATTAAATAAACAGCAGCTCTGCTAGAGAAGTATACCTGACTACAAGGCCTTTACCACCTTTAAAAAGCAGAATAGGCTATATGAGATTTACACAGTTCTTCATTCTATTTTGGAAAAGCTTTGGAGTTATCTATCTTAAAATAAAAAAAAATAATAAAACAAATCAACACAAAACCACACCGCATACACAAACAACCAAAGGAAAAGAAAAAAGGAAAAGAAAAAAAAACACAAATATTTTCTGCTTTCTAGTTCTTGTAGTTTCATTTAAAAAAAATAAAATACGGAATCCAACCCAAGGTGAGAATTGTTTTATTATATGAAGGAAGTGGCCTATTTATTACAGCACATCTCTGGCAGGAGCCAGGGTCTAAATATTCATTTGAAGACACAATATCACAGAGTTTTCTGATAGCAAATGAGGACAACACTGCTTTAGACCCAGTCTTTTATTTTCCAGTAATTTAAATTAAGTATTGTTGTCATGCTTGAGGTCCTTGTATCCTCAAATTTCTGTTTATTCTGTTGGATTTAATCTGACTTTGGTGAAATAATGTGATATTGCATATTGACAGCCTAAATATCCAAAGTGGGGAAAAAAGGGTTTCCTTTTTATAAGTTTTGAATTTGCATCTCTCTACTATCACTTCTTTTCCCTGTGTTATAAAACAAGGAGAACAGAAGCACTGGGTGTATATTCACTGGATCAGCCATACATAGTTTTACACACTTTTTTATCATGTTCTAGAGGAAGCTGTGTTATTGTTTTATACAATGCAAGTAGTACCACAGCACTTCAAACAGGTCTGTGAAATGCAGTTCCTTCTATCCCTGCTGCTATAATTTTCCAGGATATTATAAAAGATCCTAAGCCCAAAAATTTGGATTGATCTCCACTTCTCCAATAGCTGAGTTTGCTGTCTTCTGTCATTGGGTTTGCAGTTCTTGGTCATTCTGGGAGAGGTTACAAATAGTCTCCCCTGTTCTAACAAGCAGGTAGGTCTAGAGGCAGCTGTTTTCACTGTTGTGCCCTAATGAGTGAATGACTGAGCCCTAAAGGAGATTTCTTTTCTCTTATCCATTATGTAGCACCAAAACCTGAATTCAAAACTTTCTACAGTTTTAAGAGGTCTTCCTTCAGTGTCAGGGAGTTTTCCTGGGTAAAGTGTGCTCCTGATGCTACTCAGAACCTAATTACTGTAAGTCAGGCATTTATTTCTTTCCAGGAGAAACCCTTTTGTATTATTAAAATACAAAACTGCCTAACTGACTGACTTCCATATAAAGGGGGAGGGGAAGGAGCCACACATAACTTGAGTTACTCGAGCATAAGCTATTTTTATTCAATTGAGCCCTTTAGTTCAGATTAGGATCATAGCTCCCTTTGAATGTACAAGTTACTTTGAGTTCTTAGTCCAGTGTTGAAAAACTAACACTTAGGAACTTCTGAATATAAACCTCACTGAAAAGCTGAACTTACAAAAGTGCCTGTCTGTATTGTATATGAATCTTTACAGGAAAATAAGGAAACAAGCTAAGGTAGCAGAGGAAAAATCTTGTTTGTATTTTGCATCTTAATACTGGGAGAAGACCTGTAGGTTATAACAACAAATTTGTGATGAATTCTGAGAAAACAGTGGAAAAGTTGTGATGATGGAGAGTGGTACGTGCATTTTTTCTTCTTATATCTCTGTGTATTAAGAGGCAATCAGAACAGTTTCAGATTCTTTTAGCAGACTATTTATTCGTTTATTTAATTATTTGTCTTATATGACAAGGGAAATATATTTTGTTATAGGCTACATATAATAATAATAATAAAATACACAATTTTTATGCTATTACTCCATTTTCTTAATAAAGAAGGCCGCTGTTTTAACAGATGGAAAAGTCAGAACTGACCAGGAAGAAAAAAGAAGCCAAAATTCTTCTCTAAAATGACTACATCTGAAGAAGGTAGTAATTATTTCCTTCTCTCTAAGTTACAGCAACGTACTGAAATTTAATAAAGATAAATGTAACATTTACTGGGTAATAAGAGATTGTGGTAAGAAATAAACAAATGTAGGATATAGTGCATCTAAGTAAACACAAAGGTTGTAAAACCTTCAAACTCAAATATCAAGAGCACTGCAAATTAATGCTGCACACAATAGACCCTTTGGAAGCTAACTTAATCCACCCCCATGTATCTACATGAGGGCCATGCATAACAATGCATGAGCTGGATTTCCATTAGAGTTTCCTCTGCAGGCTGTCAGTTGTTTGAAGAAATAACAATTTCCTAGGCATGAAAGCTTTTTCAGAATGTTCCCACTGATGTGTAATAAAAGTGACTTTACTTTTTTTCCTTCCCTGCTCTCCTTCAGCCCCTCCCCCCGAGATGTGACTTCTGGGGGAAGAAGAGGATGGACTTAGACCCTTGGCCCCCTACCAGTTTACCTTGCCAGGATTATCAGTGCAGGTGTTAAAATAATTGAAGGTGTGGTAGGAGACAGAACCCCTAATAGCTTTTCCTATATGGAGATTACCTAGGTAGAGAATGCCAGAGTACCTGAAGAATAGGCAAGTGA